ATTCTAGCGTTGTAAGTCCGCAGACATACCGCTGTGCCACTGGGGGGGGCAGTTAAAGATGTGCATACCAACAGTTGCCAATTTACATATTTTTGTTTCAATAATTATTCATAGATTAAAAATTATTAAACGTTTTTTGTTTTTGTTTTGTTATAAGAACCAAGCAAATACAAACTACTGTCGACTCCCTCTTCGCCTCTCCCCTCCTCCGTGGCCTTATAATAAACATAATAAAATTGCCTTAAGCAAAAACAAAATTGGGACACAGTGGCCTACAATGTGTAATAAGCGATCTTTTATTTTTCAGAAAATCTTATACAGAAATGATTTAACACTTTAATGATAGATAGATGAGTTGATCGCGCGCGTGTGTGTATTATGATCCTTACGTGTGTAAAATATATTAAGGCCGAGCCATGTAGGTTCTCTAACGATCCTTAACAAAAGACAGATTTACTACCATGCATATTTCTAAATAAATACTCTAATAATGTTATAAGTTCATTTTGTAATTGGCTACGATTCACAATTCAATTACATTGCAATTTCACACTATATTTTTATTGTTCTTTAAACAGATATATTAACAAAACGTTATAAATACATAAATATTTTGAACATCCATATGTCAGATCAAAGACTCAGCAGAATATTATATTAATCAAGCTTAGCATACAACGACGTCACAATCACAAATCTGGGTTATGTTAAGCTGAAATCTGATCTAGCTTGAAACTGGAACAGCATATAAAATTGTCGAAATTTTTATCGTTCCGAAAATTAGACGATTTAAATTATTATTGTCTAACTAAGAAGACATACAAAACATTGGTTTCATAATTTTTGTGTCTTCAGTTGAGATTATTAAGTTGATCGTGATTAATCTAATGGATAAGACATCATAAAATTTAGTATCACAATAAAGGAAATCTTAAAGATATTCTAAATCCACTTTTTTCACTAACCTTATTTTCTTGTCTCTTTTGTAGGTTTTTGGTTCCAGGGCAGACTTACAGTTACATGCTCAGGGCCACATGCGAGAAACCAAACCTTACAAGTGTTCCCGATGCTCCAAAGCGTTTGCCAACTCTTCCTATTTGTCACAACACACTCGTATTCATCTGGGTATAAAGCCGTACCGTTGTGAACTCTGCCAACGGAGATTCACCCAGCTTTCTCACCTGCAGCAACACATCCGGACCCACACTGGAGATAAGCCCTATAAATGCCGTCATCCGGACTGCAATAAAGCTTTTAGCCAGCTTTCCAATCTCCAGTCTCATTCCCGCGGTCACCAAAAAGATAAGCCCTATAAATGTAACAGTTGCTACAAATGTTTTGCCGACGAGAATAGCCTTTTAGAGCACATTCCCAAGCACAAAGAATCCAAACATCTTAAAATTCATATTTGCATGCACTGCGGAAAATCCTACACCCAAGAGAGCCACTTATCTAAACACGTGCAGAAACATGACAAGTGTTTGGAGAAAAGATCACACCTGCCATTTAGAGAAAGTCCGCAATCGGTACCATTCACTCTCTCAAGCCGGATTCCCATGGACAATTTTTCTTCTAACAGTATTTATTCTGCATCAAACCATGACACTTCCTGTGCAGTTACTAATCATTTTCCACTCCCACACATATCTGAGACATGTCTTCAGTCCATTCTTAATAACCACCCTCGGCTCCACACAACTTCATTGGGTCTGGAACATCGTCCACCGATGGTTACAGAAACAACAGCGACTACTCAATGCAATTCTCGGAACCATTCTAGTCTGGCTTATAGTGACCAGATGGGTTATGATGGTGTACCCCTTTCAGTGTCCACCTCGAAGACCAGTGCTGTTGTCACAATGATCCAGTCTGGCATGTTGCCTATTTTTTCTGGGGATCAGATGTCAAAGGCCGAAACTTCCCGATCGTATTTCCAATACGAACCTATTGATGTTTCAAAAACAAGGTCCCAAATCTGCTCAATAGGCATGAAATCAAACCAGAATAGCTTCCCCAACCAGCTAATAGCATTGCACCAGATTAAGAACTACGCTTCTATGACTGGAAAAGAACATTCCATTACTCTAAAGAAGAACAGCAAAGAATAAACATTTTCCATGTTTAGAGCAGCATGGCGAATTGGCAAACAATATTCTTAGAACTAACTTTTTTTAAAATCTAAAACGTGAACTTCACTTTCTGAAAACAAAAAAAAAGATCTGAGAATTGGCAAATTATTGACTCGATAATGGTTCAAAAGAATTAAAGTTTCCCTAAGTGATTTATAATCCCACATACAGTATATCGGTAGTTTGTAGCATATTATGTCGCAATAACACCGATAATGATAATAATTTTTAATAAATCTTTCTTTACCAAACCCATAAGGTTCTAGTAAGAAGGACACAAAAATATTTAGATCTTACACTTACGAAATTAGTAAAGAAATGCTTATTAAAAAAATATTATCAGTATTTCTAATTGCTACGTAATATCATACAAACTACCAATCTATAGACCATTCTTCGCCAGTATAGGCGTTATATATCATAATAATGAATGTAATAGTTAATTTGTGTTCGATGTTCGTTTACAAATTATTTGTTGTGATGTAAGTGAAATCAAATGACTAGAAAAAATATATCGATATGTATAGATTTTGTTTCGGGTGATGTAAAAGTGGAACGATTAAAAAAATAGGAAAAACGGTAATCTGTTTGTTTTTGTTTAGTTCATGAGAAACTGGAATGTTTAAATTTCATCGAATACGACTGACCTTAAACTAAGTTATGTTTCATAGGTGAAACATTTATCTTCAATAACAAGTTTTGAATAAAAGAAACGATTACTTTCATTTCTTAAAATATACCATAATGTTTAGGGACAACAAGGGACATATTGGTCCATCTCGGCTGTCCCATCATCTAAATTAAACTGAAGCTATCAAATAAATAAATGAAATAAAAATCTTAAAGCCATTCTTATAGTTATCAAGCTTTCTCTTAAACTCACTTAAACTTACTGCCTCCACAACATCTGAAGGCAACCCATTCCAAAGGCCAACCACCATGAGATATTCCCCAGTGGCTAAGCGGTACGTCTGAGGGCCCACATTGATAAAAATCGAGTTTTGATACTTATGTTGGGCACATCACAGGTAGTCCAAACATCTTAAAATTCATATTGCATACACTGCGGAAAATCCTACACCCAAGAGAGCCACTTATCTAAACACGTGCAGAAACACAAGTGTTTGGAGAAAAGACCACACCACGCCATTTAGAGTCCGCAATCGGTACCATTCACTCTCTCAAACCGGAGATTAATGAAAGGTTATCTTAGGACATGAAAAGACAGAAATAAAAGGTAGTTATATTCATTTCGCTATTGGTACGTTTGATTGTATCGGTCGATTATTTTAACGCTTCTCTCGTTTACAAAAAGTTTTTCTTTTTTAGTCTTTCTTTTTTTTTTTCAGTCTACCGAATTTTCAAGTGAGATATATAATAGAGTTCTACAATTTCAATTTTCGAAAACTTCGACAGCAGTTAGTATTCCCATTACGGAATATGTGAGCTAATATCAGGGGATTCACATTCAACAATTAAATTCAACTGGAAGTGTAAGAAGGTCTACAGCGCGAATTCTTAGTTCCAATAAGCTCTTTTCACAAAGACATATACATATGCATGTGCTCAAATTCAAATTTTTTGTAGTTGTTACTAAATGAATAATTATTGGGTGTAAGTAGCAATTACTATGACCCACCATTAGTTTTTTCCATAACAGTTATGTTCAATTTCGAAGTAACGTGTTGCTTCTTCACTTTTAACTTCATACGTATAACTTAAGCTTGTATTTACTTTTAACCTCATATGTATAACTTAAGCCTATATTATATACATGATAGCAAACAAATTATATTCCATTTTACCTTTCTTCATCATTGTATTTTACAGATCGATTATTCATAAGGAATTTTTGCAAAGGTTAGCGCACTGGCCCACAGATCAAAAGGTCCAACGTTCGAGCCGTGATATGCTGCGGAACACATTTTCACTTGCAACTGTATATGGTATATACGTTACAGATATAGTAATCAAGTCCGCTATTCTAAATCATGGGTGGATATGCTTGAATCTTGGTGTTTCTGACGTGGCCATATGTCTCATAAAGTACTCATTTGCCATTTAAGTTGAAAATAACAATTAAGTAATTCGATTTTAACATTCCAATTTAAATCGAACGTTAAAACATATTTTTCATTTGATATTTTTTTTTCATGATGGCACAAATACATCTTTGAAACAAAACACTTTCAGTGGCTTATATATTCAAGAAGCATACATTATAAGGATAATGATCTGTAATATACAGAACTTTGTAAAGCCTGATTACAGTATATCAGAAATTAAAGGGACAAACATTTAAAAAGGCCTTTAATGCATTTCTAAAAACTTTGATGTCGTTAGTTATTTGTATACTAGCTGGAGTATCCGTTCCCTGGACGAGCGTTATATAAATTCATGATTAATGAAAGGTTATCTTAAGATATGAAAAGTTGCTACCCTTATATGTAACTGTAAAAAAACGCAAAAACGACAATAATAAATTTAAAACTGAAAATTTGTATTTATCTCCCCATGGACCCAATTAATCTCCATACCAAATTTAGTGAAGATTCATCTACACCCTGCGAAGTAGTTACATGGATATATAACAGACAGTACTATTATATTTATACAGATTTTGTTGCGAGAATGCTCGGCTGTTTTAGTAGGCGCACTTCACTTGTGCTATCCAATCTTGAGAGAGAATACCCTGTTTCATCTTCATATTGTCGTATGCATTTTCAAGTGCACTAATTATCTTGAGGATAAGAATGGTGACCGCAATAGCAGAAAGAGCGGCAGAATTTGTTATGCGGTATTAAACTGAATTGCTGTCACCTCGCTAGACATTTAAAAGATTAGGATCTCGAGCTCACAGGCGCGAGAATTTTGGGCGTTTCAGTATGATATCGATAGTGGTTTTCTATTCTGATTTTTCAAGAAACCAACTGGGAATTCAGAGTACGGGCCCCATGTGCCAGTGCCTACAGCGCCTAGCGATGCCTCTGATTGCTGACTTGACTGTGTTTAAAGAAATAGGCTGAACACAGTGTTCATCACATTAGAAATCACCGATTATTTACAACACAATCGGTCAAATACTACAAATGAACAGAAACAATGGATAAAAACTACTCCTTAAAATCTGGAGAGAGCTCTTTATCAGAAGTTCTAAAATACTGATCTAGGCTAAATGAGTTAACCACAGAACATAATGGACCATCTCTTCCACAGTGCATTAGTTATCCACGTTACTAGGTCATTCTATGAGTTAAAATAGGAAGAACATATCATCCTAGTATTGTTAAATCTCTATAAAGTTGATCTCACTATAGAAATTGTATGATATTAAACCATAAAGTTCTTTGTTGACATCTCCCATGAGAGAGTTCAGCAGTACCAAAGAGTAATGAACTATGACAATGTACAGTTAGGACCACCAAGTAAGCTACATTCCAGAACTGGCCTGTATTAATGTTAAATATTTGCACATACTTGTGAGTGTGGAAAGTTTGGGTAAACATGAAATGGTCATCTGTTTCACCAGAAACACCTGGTATGTGTCTCATACTACATTTGATATATTACCAATTTCTGTTCTCATCATTACATCAACTTTGATTAATATTTTGTGTCAAATTACATAACTCAGTATGATCATGGCAGTAACCGAAGTGATTATCAGCAGACAAACAGAAAGAATCAGGTTTCATAAGTACGATTAAAATAACATAAAAATCTACTTCAGTCCCCAGTTAACTGTTTAGCTCGTGTAGACATTATAAAGATTACCCTAACTAGCAGTAACACCACTGAATGTCTGCACTTTTCACACGGGAGTTCCAGTTTCATGTCTTTACTAATGATCGAGTATTTCATGTATAGAATGCTCTTATGACATTGTTTAATATGATCCTCATGGCATACGGAGACATCAGTGTAAATGAATGTACAGACCTAACATTACTTCTGAAGGCCATATTTACTGTCCAATGATATGATGACCTAATACTGAACTCAGCTGTACAATGATTTATGAGTGCATTTGACCTTAACTTTATTTTGATGCAGGGTAAGGTCTGATGTAATAATGTTAGGATTGAAATGAACTATCTTAGACAAAAAATTGTAGATTGAATTGAATAGCCAGCAATAAGTCCTGATCTGAATCCTGTAGAAAACATCTTCAGCCTCATTTGACGTCGTGTACACCAACACTTTAAGCTCCCATGCAACATCATAAAATTTAGTGATGTACTGAATGAGGAGTGAAACAGATTCTCCAACACAGGAGTATTCATAATCTATGGTAACTTGACAAAAATGAGTACCTAGGTCTTTCAGCTTCTTTTCTTTACTACCAATAGTACTCTGTGTGATGAACTAATACTTTGCAGTACACTTCCTACTGCAAGAAGCTTTTGCAAAATACAGTGTGGTCCATCTTTACATACTTTACAAAGTCCATCAACTTTGAATAGACAATGGTATTTTAATGCCCATTTTTGCAGCTCGGAGGCTACAAAGTCCATGGAAGATGTATGCAAATTGTATAACATGAATTCCCATTTGTACTTGAATCTTATAGAAGAACTGGGATGTTGACTTGGATGTAAAACTGTGTTTTGCCTTAAGGGAATCCAGTCCGTACAGTGATGGTATTTCTCACAATATAGTAGTATAAGTAGGTTAGCTTGGTGGTATGCAAAGTACATCTAAGGGTTTTCTTGATTCTTTAGAATTTTAATATACCATTGTAGCTATAACCTGCAAGTTTCATAAATTCCTTGAAAAAAACCTTCGTGACATATCTGTAGAACTTTCTAAGTGTTATATCACAGGCAGGCCGATAATACACCATTCAAACTTTTGTAAATACCGATGTAAATAAATATATGCTTTGTCGAATGTGACGTTATAATCCACTTTCCTTTACATTTCCAGTAAGATACCCATTTATTCTACTAATATTTCGTATATTACATGTTTTTATAATTGCAGGATAGGAAAATTTTGCTTCAGAAAGTCCTGTAATGTAACCCTCCTAGGCCTCCTTTGCACATGAAAATCATCATACTTCAACAGAATTGCAGCAAGGGTGTCCAGGCTTTTAACGTACGTACGTACGAGCTATTAGGATGGTCACTATTCTCTTCAGGCTTTCTATAATCTATCTAGTATACAAGGTCGACGATTTCCCAGTACTCAGGTCAACAGTCTAATCGCATAGAAATATATTTAGTGTTTCATTCGGTAGCTTGACCAGTATGAATATACGTTTCATTCTCTACCAACTGAAAATCTTATCTTGATACATCTAGAACTTATTGGCCTCGTTTCCAGATGGAAATCCCTCTTGATTATATTGTGTGTTGTTGCCTGCGATACATGGATGGCTTTTGCCACTAACGTTCGTGTTTGTTGATTCTCACCAGGACCTTTTACTCGTATTTATTGCTTACCTTATGGGCCTATGTCACCAGTAATTAATAAACTGTCAGTAAAATTAATTAATGGTATTCAAGAAATGGTGCTCTTAAAACATATTTTTATTTATATTCAGTTCTT